TTAAAAAATTAATAGAGTAAAAATTAAAGTGAGAGCCAGCAGGTGGCATGGTGGTTAAAGGCACTGGACTCCCACATGGCCAACCACGGTTCAAGTTCCAGAACGGGTAACTTTCTCTCTCTCCCTCTCTCTCTCTCTCTCTGATCAAGTTGAAAAATAAGAAGTTAAATAAAATAATTCTTTTCTAAAAATTAGAATAAATTTTACAGGCAAAGTAGAGATTAATACCAACTGCTTATTAGAAATACTCTCTATGGCCAGCAGGTGTCATGGTGGCTAAGGTGCTGGACTCCCACATGGTCAACCACTGTTTGAGTCCCAGACCTGGTGGCTTGCTTTTTCACTTTCCCTCCCTCGCTCTCTCTTTCTCTCTCTGGTGACCACACATGTCCTATAGCAAACTTTAATAATAATAATAATAATAATAAATAATTTTTCAAAAGAAATACTCTCTGACTTAACATCTTTATGTCCAGTAAATATTATAGAACCTAAATTTTCTTCATCTTTTTCTTCTCTTGTAAAAACATAACAAATTAAAATATTTGACATACATCTATTCCAAATTTGTTTCACTATTTACATGTTATTTTTCAAATTTTGATCATATAGATTGAATTTGTGCAATCATATCTTTGTTTATCACTTCCTAGATTCATTCAAAATAACTTATTTCTGAAAGATAAATATGGTTTTAAATATATTTCTCAGTCTTAGAACAAGACAGTAATGTCAACATGAATTCAAGGGAAGACTAAATGCATGAAGCTGTGATTATCTCAACAAAGCTAAAGACTTGTATATAGCATAAAAATACAATCTTAAAAATATGAGAAAGTTAAGTTTTAAGTTCTTACAATAATCAAATACGGCAATATTATAAAGTATTCTAATCTATTCTTTAGAACTGATCATGTAGGATTTTTACTTGGAAACACTATTAACAGCTACTCGATATTTCTATAAAAATAATTGAACTCTCTTTTTCTTATTTTTTTCTTCATTAAGTCAAACTAATTCCTCCACCTGGCTTTTTTTAAATCATTTTATTTAACTTTATTTATTATTATTTTCCAGTTGGATCAGAGAGAGAGGGTGAGGGAGAGAGAAAGTGAGAAAGCAAGCCACCAGGTCCAGGACTTGAACCATGGTCAGCCATGTGGGAGTCCAGTGCCTTTAACCACCATGCCACCTGCCAGCCCCCTCACCTGGCTTTTAAGTGAGGTATCAGAGTACATAGATTTCTCTTTTATTTTCCTATGTCTTTAAAATAAAATCACTCTTCAGACTCTCCATTACAAAAGCATCATTCCTAAGTAACACCCCATGCTTGAAAAAAAAAAAAAAACCATCTTTTGCAAAAAAGTTTTCAAATAAAATTGTTAACTGCTAGATTCCACAAACCTTTTCAGTTACTCTCCTGAACCCAGACACCTCTCTCCTCAGTAAAACAGTCAAGAGCGACTCAAGCCGGAAATATATGTGGCCGTCACTGTGGGTTGGTAGAATGAAGCAGAAAACATGCCGACCTTCCCAATGCAAATAAACCAGGAGTAATGGAGGCATGGGCTGGCTGCAGGTCAGTTCCCCAAATCAGTTTGATTCATATGCTCCTCCTTTAAAACTATGTCTTCGCAGTTTTCAAAAGAAGATAACATAGGTGACAGAAAAATTCAAACTGAACGAAGTCACCTGCCTTATTCAAAAGGAGACACAACTTTCCCCAAACAGATATGTTAGTGTGATGCTATCTTGAAACATAGTCGTCCCAAGGTAATTTAATTTTGTTAACTTTGAGAATAAAGGTACCTTTTATTTTCACAGTTTTAGATACTGTTAGAATTGCAGACTAGAACTAGAGCATTAAAAGGAAATGTTAGTTGTATAAATTTTATTTTTTATGGGTCCCTCCTGGCAGCTCAATAAATTGCCACGAACTTCTCATAAAGGGGAATTTCTTTTTTTTTAAAAGGGGGGGTAGGGTTTGAGAGTCCCTCTGCCCAATTAGAAAGCTAAAAGGCAGTTTGATCCAATTGGTGAAAGTGTATTTCTCTAAGGGTGTCGATCCATTTGTTCATGGGATTCAAGTCTCAGGACATTCAGTTGTTTGGTTTGCAGTCTCTCAGCAAGAGAGAGAAAGAAGAAAGAATTTTCTTAGCTGCCTCCTTCCAACCTGTAGGTATTCAGGGAATTCTGAATCAGAACTTGGACTTCTTTGAGGGCCTGTGTCCTGGTGGTTCGAATGGCTGGGAAGGTGGAGTGGTTTAAGTTTAAGTAGTTTTACTTTCTGCTTTAGCACAGAAGTCAGAGGTCATCTCATCAGATTGACAAAAGTACAAATGACAACTTTTCAGATACAGAGAAGAGGGAAAGTGCTTCAGCCTCCGGGTGTATTTTTAAACTCTGGGCTATTTCTTTTTACTCCTTCACGTTGCAGTTGGAGGGTAGAGGGCAATATGGAGTGATACAAACCCAGTTCCCTTTGTCCAGTTGTTACTTCAAGCTCTGGGCAGTCAACAGTCCCACGTAGGCGCTTCCGCGAGATTTCTAACTGTGCCAACTAAGGGGAGATCGAGAGATGTGAGCAGAAAGCAACTAGAGTCATATTCTCTTCATTTTCTTAGTTCGAAATGTGTGAAATCACTGTTCCTGTTATTCTTTTCGAAATAACATCTTGTTAGAGAGATTGCCACGATTTTCTCTTCAATTTGTGGAGAACTCAAGGTTCTTCTAGGCCGTGGCCAAAGTAAAATGAAAATGTCAAAATGAGCGTGCACAGTGGGTTAGGAGGTAGGTACGCGTACGGGGAGGTGAGGGAAGACAGGCTTGACCTGCCATCCGGGGCTGGCCTCCGGCCGCTTTTCCCGCGCAATATTGCGGCCACCTTCTATGCTGCACAGTAGAGGCTGCGAGAGAAGGACCGCGCTTAGGTGACAGCTGCTTCCCGCGACCCCGTTCCCGAGATACCCTACGCGAGGGGGATCCAAAATGGGACCTCTGTGCGGGGATGGACTGCCAGACCTGTGCGAAACTGCGAGCGGGACCCGCGGGGCCGCACCCACAGGCGGCCTTGCCTCCTGGACGCCGCAACTGAGTGCGCGCCCGGGCTCCTGCGGTCTCCTTAGACCTGACCCGGGGCGCGCAGGCCGGGACCAGCCCAGAACCCGGCGCGAGGCTAGCTGGCACGCCCCCGGCTAGAAGGGTGAGCAGTGGCCGGGGCCTGCGTTTCGCATCCCAGGCATCCGGAAGAGAGCGTAGCGACTCTGAATGTCGGTCAGTTCGCTTAAATAAGCGGCTTTGCCCGTCCTCGGAAACTCCCGGGGGCACATACTTTAGGGTGGGGTTGGGAGGGTGTCCTGTGCCCCTGTGCGTCGGGATCTTCCAAAGCTCCGGCGTTCAGCCACAGACAGCCGGCCCCTGAAACTGGACTGGAGGAGTTTCATTCAGACTACCTTGGGGCCAGCAGGTGGCATGGTGGTTGAGGTGTTGGACTCTCACATGGCTGACCACAGTTCAGGTCTTGGACCTGGTGACTTACTTTCTCCCTTTCTCTTTCTCTGTTAAAAAATAAATAAAATAATTCTTCTTTAAAACTAGATTATCTTGTAGTTAACTACGGAAATCAGTCGCTCAAGACCGTTCACCATTTATAACCGACTTGGCGTTCTGAGGTCCTTGCCCATTTGTAAATCTGGCGAAACTAAAAATTCAACCCCGAAACCAATCGGCTTAGAATAGTCACTTTTTAAACACAAATGTTTCTTCAAGGTTGCATTCATTCTTCACTTTCTAGCCTGATAACGGATGTGAGGCTCTTTATTGGACTTGACCTGGGAGTAACTAGTGTCCGCTGGGGTCGGTCATCCGGGCCGCCTCTTCCTCAGGTCTGGGCTCCCTAGGCTCGTCCTGGGCTCGCAGCCCACACGCCTGGCCCATCACTGTTCTCCTAACGCCCCTCCGCGGCCCGACCCAGCCATTGTGTAGGATGGAGGACCCCACCGCGTCCTCGGTGCTCGGGTGGGAGGTGTGGCGAGGCTGGAGAGACGCGACCGGGGCTAGGAGAGCTCTCTCCGGGGCAGGAGAGAGAAGGGCGGCGTGCGCTGCGCGGTTCCTAAGGTGAGCCGGCGTGGCCGCTGCGGTTACCCGCCAGGAGGGGACAGAGCCCTCTGACCTGCCTTCCTTCCCGGACGCCTCTCCTTGGAGCCCGCGGGCCTCTGTCCCAACGAGTTACAGAAACTTTAAAGGCCTCGGGCCGGGGAGGCTTCGGCATGGGGTCTGGATGAGGCCTCCGACTCCTCGAAAGCAGCTCGCACCACGCGCAGTGGAGGGGGCGAGATACACGCTGCCCCCGCGGGGTGCAGAACAAAGAGCCGGATCCCCGACTCGGGAGGGGCAGAACCCTCCAGCCCCAGACTGCAGAACTGGGGTGCGGGCGGCGGCGGTAAGAGGATTCGGTGGAGAGGCTTGTTTCCAGGCTTTGGTCACCGCCCTGCGCCCCCAGAGGGAGCTCCCCTGCGCCCAGGCGGAGTCCCCAGACTTCCCTCCGGGACGACCCGGACCCCGAGAGCGCGGTTTCTGCACCTCACCCGGAAACGCGAGCAGAGAGAATCTCCCCGCCTCGCAGCCCTAGGACTCGGGCGCTCAACTCTCCGAGTGAGGCCGGGGCTCCCCCAGGAGCCCGTCCCGCGCGGTCTTTTCTCCGTGAGCCCAGCTCCCCTCCCAGGCCCTCCCCACGCCCTCGCGCCTCCTCCAGCCGGGGAATCCCTTTTCGCGCACGAAGCCTGGGGCCCCGCGCTCGTGAGCGCAGGGCCAAACTAGCTGAGGTGGAGCCCCAGGAAATGCCCGGGCGCCCCTTCGGACCCACGGCTCTCGCTCCCCATTGGCCTGCGGTCCCCACCCGCCGCTCCTCCCCCTCCCCCTCCCCACCCCCCCAGGGGCGTCAGCGGAGCCGAGCGAGCTAGCGGGATCCGCAGCCCCGGAGCGCGCTGCCCCTCGCTCCGCCGATGACTCCGCAGCCCCGGCCCACGCGCCGCCGATGCAGCACCCCAGACGTCCACCAAACCCGAGTTGATGAAAAAACACTTAACCGTCTCCGCTGCGGGGAGCCATGAGCTGTCTGGATGTTATGTACCAAGTCTATGGTCCTCCGCAGCCTTACTTCGCAGCCGCCTACACCCCCTACCACCAGGTATGCCTCTTCCCTGGGTCGGAGCCGAGATTCTGGGGACTTAGGGCAAGCCCGAGGCTCGTCGGAGCCCCGCCTGTTCCCCAGGTCCGCCGCGCCTTGGCGCGTCCGGGGAGTCTGACCAGCTGCGAGTGCCGCCCGGATGCGGAGATTGCCCGCGCTGCCACCCGGTTGGTTGTGCAATGAACTAACCCCGTTAGCTCACCCGTTTGCTCTCTCGGGAAGTCAGCTAAACCCTGCTAATGTGCGCCTGGGCCTTTCTGAGAATAACCAGACGAGGATGGCCCGGGCCGGATTTTCTTCTTAGAGGAGGACTCCACATTCTTACCAGCTTGGCGCGGGTGCGGGGAGTTGTCCGCAAAGCTTACGGCAGGGATAAACCAAATACTGGTCCCAAAGAAGAAAGCGACACTAAACCAAGATAAAAACTCCATCTCTGTTTTTCCGTATGCGATGCAGAGTTTCGCACGTTCGCATCCCTGCAAGTGTATCTCAGGAATAATTTCTTTTCAATTTTCAGACAACCAAGTCAAGTAATTTCAGGAGCAGGGAATTTGTTAGTACAGGCAAATCCAGGAAATTTGGATTCCCTGAAGCAAAATGCACAGGTTTTGTCATTTTTATTTCGTAAAGTTCTGGGGAGTGTACGTGGGTCCAGAACGATCCGCTGGGGACGAGTATAGACAATACTAAGCTTTTCTCAAAGCCTGAGGAAGAAGCTGAATCTGGCAGTCTCATCTTCCATAAACTCACTTTTAAGAAGACCGGTTAACCCCGGTTCTGCAAACTCTTTCGGTTCCATTTAATTCTTCTCATTTCTCTTTTCTTTGGATTGCATCTTTTCCTTCCTCAGCTGATTTGACAAAACTGAGGACAGTAGTCCAGGAAACACACACACAGGAGTTCTGACCAAGATAGAAAGTGAGGGCCTGGATTCCTCTTTCCAGAGAATCTAAAAAGACTCCAATACCCCAGTCCATGTTTGCCTTAATCCTAAATACACTCCAATACCCCAGTCCATGTTTGCCTTAATTTTGTTGTCAAATTCATAACATCTATATGAACATTTCCTGATGAATTAATGATCAATGCATAGGTTTTGGGTTTTTGTTTCACTCTCTCCTCTTCTTCCTTTTTAAACTTTCCCATCTGGATTTTATTTAGTGTTGATGTTCATTTTAAGAATGACTAGAGTCCCTCCCTATGAACTGGGTGAGAAAGGGGAATTTAGGAAATAGTTCCATTGCTAAATTACTCAAGTCTTCAGGCTCCAGCCTCCAAGATGACCTCCTTCCCAGGATGGATCTAGGGCAAAGAAGAGGAAGGCGGGTTGGTTTTCTGTCTGGTCCTTTCTCCTCCTGGGCCCTGGTCCAATCTATCACATTCAGATCTCTGTTCGCTTCTGTATGAATGGGGGCCTACCTTTCAAGGCCACCTCTGCCTGCATTCAATCATTGCTCCTTCCTATGAAAATGGTTTCTGCAGCTGCCTTGGTTTTTAAAATCATGTCAGACATCATGAGTTACCCAGCCTCATAGCAATGATCTTATCCTTCCTTTTCCTCCTTTTTATTATTCATTTCCTCAATGTGTGTGGAGATGGTGTGCGCGAATGTACTCATAGTCCACTGGTCTCTCCTTACACAAAAGACAGTCTATTTAAAAACCAAGACATTTTTAAGTGGCAGCGTGTGGGTGTCTAAACAAATATCAACTTGCATTTACTAAAATGACCCTTATTCTCCTTGTCGCGATGTCATTCCACTATTTTATATCACGTGATTCGTTACTAAACGAAACTATTTCAATCTTTCTGCCACAGTTCTTCCTTTACATCTCTGGTTGTGTAGAGTGGATTTTGTTTTGTTTTGGGGTAGTGGTGTTCTTTTTCTTTTCCATCATGAGAATGTTTAATCCTGCATCTTGTATTTCTGCCATAGATTCTTGGGCAGGGTACAGTCAGGCTCTCACTGGAGTTGGGCGTCCTTTACCCTTGAAGTCCGATTTTAAAAATATATCTGCCCTGAGCCCAGCTTTGAGGTCAAACTCAGCTCACAACCTGACTGCTTAGATGTCTTCTGGAACCTTTTCCCCCACATTTTCAGAGAGATTTCCCTAGGACCCAGCAGCAATTCAGGTGAGGCTGGGGTACCCAGGACAGAGATCTTCCGTAAGGAACCAGTCCTGGAGGGGAGCAGGTCGGAGGCCTGCAGTGATTCTGCCTCCTGTCCCATTGTTTTTATGCTGAAAGCCTAAGGCTTAGGTGCAGGTGCCAGATTCCCTGTGAATATTTAAGGATCGAATAAGGGAGTTTAGTCTGAACTGAATCCGATTTGCCATTACTTTTTAAACTGGCATCTCTATTCTTTCTCTTTCTGAGCAGAAACTAGCCTATTACTCCAAAATGCAGGAAGCCCAGGAGTGCAACGCCAGCCCCGGCAGCAGTGGCAGCGGCAGCTCCTCAGTTTCCAGCCAAACCCCAGCCAGTATAAAAGAGGAAGAAGGCAGCCCAGAGAAAGAGCGCCCACCTGAGGCAGAGTACATCAACTCCCGCTGCGTCCTGTTCACCTATTTCCAGGGAGACATCAGCTCTGTGGTGGATGAGCATTTCAGCAGAGCTCTGAGCCAACCAAGCAGCTACTCCCCCAGCTGTGCCAGCAGCAAAGCACCCAGGAGCTCTGGACCCTGGCGAGGTGAGGAGGCCCTGTTGGGAAAGGTTGATGAAGGGCCCTCTCGGGGCCTGGGGCCCACTCCAGGGGCCCAAAGATATGCAACTGAGAGAAAATTGGGTGTCAGACAAGGGTAAGGAAGACCCTTGGAGGGGGCTAAGGAAAAGGAAAGGGTATCTCTTGTTAGAGCGGCAGAGCAAGCAGGGCAGTAACCTGGAGAAAACACCAGTCTTGGGGTTAGAAGGCCTACACTTCCTAGCAGTATGACCTTGGGCAAGTCTCTTACCCTCTTTGAGGTCACTCAATTTACTGGTCTCTAAAATTAGAATAACACTTGCCTTCTTAACTATCCCCAGAGTAGACTACAAAGATTCAAATGAGAAATCATATGTAATTGCACTGTGGACAGGTGAGGTTTCCAACAGGCTCCCCAACCAGGGAGAGAAGGTTCTTTATCACCAACGTACAGGGCACGTTCCCAATTTTGGAAAATGTGCCTAGTGGAAAAAGTCCTAGAAGCCCCCAGCCCTCCAAGGATAATGTGTTGGAGGGTATCTCCAGAAGTCCCTACGCCTTCTGCCAGATTCCAAATACATGGGAACCTTGAAGCAGAAAGTATCTTTCAATAAACAAGTAACATAACAAAGAAACGAGAACAGAGACACAGCCAAGACATCACATCGCTAAGGGTTTTCTCAAACCCCTGCCCCCTTATTATTCTACCTGCTTCACACAGCACTGCTCTACTTTGGCTTGAAACAGTGTTTTCTTAGACAAGTCAACTAAATCTCCCTTCTGTTCCAAAATTTCAACTTCCCTTTATTGCCAATAAGACACAAGTGGAAGAAACCATTTAGAAAAGCTTCGGTTTTTTATGCTTTCCAAGCTGAGAAGTGAAGATTTTGCTTTTAAAAATAAAAAGTCATTTTCCTTTGTCATTTTGAGGGAAATGACAATCCTTGTCTCTCCCCGCCTTTTTCTTTCCTTAAGAGAGTCTGACAGTTTGCACAATCTGCCTTTAGATATATCCAAAAACATTCACTTTACGTACAGAGCATTATTCTTCCGTTGCCTAAACATTATTAACAGGAAGGCTGTTCACTATGCACAAAGGATTTTCAAATTATTTTAAATGATTAAGTCAGATGCTTTCCACAAAGGAGGTCTTGAATTAAATGTTACTTTCTCTCCCTCCCTACTAAAGGCAACAGATTTAAACTACCTGTCTGTTTTCTTAAAATGTGACCAGGCTCTAAGGTGAACAGGGATACTGACAATAATTACAACAATTACTATTATATTATTATTCCTGGTATTATACCTTGGTGCAGGATGTTAATTAAAACTTAGGATAAGAGACCTGTGCCCCTTCCTGTCCGCCCCTGCAGCTAGCACAGCTGCCCTATTAATGTCTGATTTACTCTCTTGCTTGAGTTCTTAGGGGGAAATATTTTAAAGAAGGTTTCTAGGAAGAACGCTAATAATAGCAAGACTGAACTATGTCGATGGACTTCCAGTCTATCGGAGGCCTTGGAGGGGCGCGTTTTCTGCAGGAAGGAAGCCTGAAATGCGAAAGGGGGTGGTGAGATCGCTAGGCGGCTGACGAAGGGCGCCCAGAGATATCTCTAGCTAGAGGAGAGGCTTCGGGCTGGGAAGGGAGATCGCAGCATTTCTGAGGCTGCAAGGCAGCTTGGCTTGGAGTCAGGGGGAAGCTCCCAGCGCCCCAAACTTGGGCAGGAGAA